AGCCTCCCCCGCGGACTGAGATCAACCTGGTAGACTCAGTCCAGGCAGGTCCAGTCCCCTCCTCCCAGGCCGAGCCAAGCGACCCTGCATAGGCCCCAGGATTCAAACAGCCAACTCATGCAATGAGCACAGGACCTGGTCCCACTGCCTGGATGCCTCCCAAACAGATCAAGCCAATCAACTGTTTCACTTATCCAGAGGGCCTGATCCAGTGGGGACCCCTCAGCCATTGGTTCATAGTTCATGTGTTTCCGTTCGTTTGGCTCTTTGTCCCTGTGCTTTATCCTTTTTTCTTTCTTGTTCTACTTGAGATACAGCTTTAAGTGACTCTTCACTCTGCAATAGATCAGAATACTGGAAATTAAATTACATAAAGATCAAAATTTTAATGGTATTTCTCTCCTTTTTATGAGACATTCTCTACATACGTTTATGTTATTATAAGTAAACAAATTGCCTAAATTGATTTTTCATTTAAGATTCTTTTTATTCATTTTACATACCAACTACAGATCTCCCTCTCATTCCTTCTCACTCTCTCCCTAGCCTTCCCCCATAACCCATTCCATTTGGCAAAACCTGGTACATTCATTTGAGCCAGAGTGAAGGTCCTCCCCACCTGCATCAGCACTGAGAGAATCATCCCATCATAGGTAATGGGCCCCTAAAAGCCAGCTCACATACCAGTGATAGATCATAATCCCACTGCTAGGGGCCCCTCAAAGAGACCAAGCTGCATAACTGTCTCCCATATGGAGAGGGCCTAGTACAGTCCCATGCAGGCTCCATGGCTGTAGAACTAAAGTTCATGAATTTCACAAGCTTGTTTCATTTCTCTCTGTAGATTTCCCCATCATGATCTTGTCCCCCACTTGCTCATAAAATCATTGTGCCCTCTCTTCAGCTGGACTCCCAGAGCCCGACATGTTGTTTGGCTGTGGATCTCTACATCTACTTCCATCAGTGACTGGATGAAGTCTCTATGATGAGTTAGGGTATTCACCAATCTGATAACCTGGGTAGGCCAGTTCAGGCACCTACTCCACTATTACTAGTAGTCTAAACTAGGGTCATCTTTGAGGATTCCTGGGAATTTACCTACCACCACATTTCTCCCTAACCCAATAATGTCTCCCTCTTTCAAGATATCTCTTTCATTCCTCTCCCACTCCATCCCTCCTCCAGCTCAACCATCACATTCCCTCACATTTTCATCCCCTATCTCCTACCTTTATTGCCTCCCTTACCCCCAGTTTACCCAGGATATTTCATCTATTTCCGCTTCCCAGGATGATCCATGTATCCTTCTTAGTGTCCTCCTTGTTAGCTAGCTTCTTTGGATCTGTTGGTTGTTGTCTGGTTATCTTTTGTTTTACTTCTAGTATCTAATTATGGGTGAGTACATATAATATTTGTCTTTTTGAATCTGGGTTACCTCACTCAGATTGATATTTTCTAGTTCCATCCATTTGCCTTCAAATTTCACGATGTCATTTTTTTTACAGCTGAGTAATATGCCATTGTGTATATGTACCACATTTTCTTTTCTTTATCCATTCTTTGGTTGAGGAGCATCTAGGTTGTTCACAGGTTCTGGCTATTATAAATAATGCTGCTATGAAAATAGTTGAGCAAATGTTCTTCTGGTATGATTGAGCATGTCTTGGGTATATGCCCAAGAGTGGTATCATTAGATCTTGAGGTAAATTGAGTCCCAATTTTCTGAGAAGTCACCATCCTGATTTCCAAAGTAGCTGCACAAGTTTATACTCCCACTAGTAGTGTAGGAGTCTTCCCCTTGTTCCACATCCTCTCCAACACAAGCTGTATTCAGTGTTTTTGATCTTAGCCATACTGATACTTGTAAGATAGTATTTCAGAGTCCTTTTATTTTCATTTCTTTGATGACTGAGGATGTTGAACAATTCCTTAAATGTCTTTCAGCCATTTGGGATTCTTTTGATGAGAATTCTCTGTCTAGATCTGTAGACCATTTTTAATTGAATTGTTTGGTATTTTGATGTCTATTTTTGTGAGTTCTTTATATATTTTGGAGATCACCCCTTTGTCAAATGTGTGGTTGATGAAGATCTTTGCCTATTCTGTAGGCTGTCATTTTGTCATATTTACCAAGTCTTTTGCCTTACAGAATCCTCTCAGTTTCAGGAGCTTCCATTTATTAATTATTGCTCTCAGTGTCTGTGCTACTGGTGTTATATTTAGGAAGTGGACCTCAAAACAACAATACTCAACTTCATATGGAAAAAAAACAGGATAGCTCAAACAGTCTTGTACAATAAAGCAACTTCTGGAAGCATCACAATACCAGACTTCAAGCTCTACTAATATAGCTTGATATTGACTCCTTTCTGACCAGGTCTCCTCAAAGTTCTCAACACTTGCTTGCATATCTTCAATTATAATTGAACATGAGGAGTTGCCTAAAATTAATTGCCATGCTGTTTAATTAATACCAAAAACGCTGTAAGTTGTTTTTCCTTTACGTTCATTCCATTTCCTATTAACTGACATTTTAATAATTGCAATACTGTTGCTCCTGAGAAGGTAAGTTTCCCATGAACTCCTGCTAATCCTGGAATCCTCTTATCCTGAGAGGGATTTCCTTCAGTTCTCAGAGATGTCTGGAATTCTTTGTTCTTCTTTAAGCTCCACATTGTGCATTAATATCTTGTATATTGTGTGTGGGTATAGGTTCAGGCAGATATGTGAAAAGTTGTACAGAGGCACATCAAAGATGAATTTTTATCCTCTTCTAGCTGTAGGGTGGATTCACTTCTATGGACTGTACAACCATTGGTAAGTAAAGGATCCTTTATTGTTTTACAAATCATACCTTTAACAAGCCAATTGCATATCGCAAAGTCTTTGTTCTAAGCCCCCAAGAGAAATAACGCCAAATGCAAATTCTGAGTTTTACTATAGGTTTTGTTGTTGTTACTAAGTTTGCATAGGCTTTAATCCTCTAGGAAAACTCTCAGATTAAACTTCAAACAGAAGGTATGGAGACAGGGGTAGCAATCACAAAAGGCAGATCAAGGCTAGATGTTATCATTCCTGTGTCAAACCGGGTATAGCTCTTGGGAATTCTTCCTTCAGGTTCGTGAATCTAAGGTCCATCTGTTCTGCAGAGTGAGTTCAAGAACATCTAGAGGTAAACAGTGAGACCCTGTCTCAAAAAAAAAGAAAAACAAATTTGAAAATGTTTGCTCATATTCCTCTAAGGAATACTTATAAAACGTATTGTTTCACCCACTTGATTTGGACAAAATCATGTCTTTGTCTCTGTCATTGATGTACCTTCTTGGGAAATAGCCATTCAGTATTCATGTATCCCCAAGATAATTTCCCACAAATTACTCAAAGTATATCTAGGGCTGGGTAGGAAGCTGGTCATGATAAGGAACCTACAGCATTAAGAGTGTCATCTGGCTGAAATGATAGAGAACCAAGCAGAAACTCTGATAGGAAAAGATCATCTCTGAGTCCCCTCAGCTGAAGGTGTTGGTCCAGAAAAATACCAGGATTATTTCTAGTTAAGTCCTGGTCTTTGATGAAGAGGACCATCCAAGCTAAAGTAGATGGTAAATGGGAGATGCTCTGCAAGAAGATAACAAAAACAGATATGGGTTTGTAAACCAATCTCCCAGGAAGCTGACTGAGAAAGGGGAGCAGACTGAGAACTGCCTGAGTTTCAGGAAGCTATGTGTCAGAAACCAAAACCGAAAGTAACGAAACCCCCAGGAATGGAGACCACATGTTTTGCAGCCCCACCCTTCACTGCAGTGGGAAAACAAAAGCCACTTACTTAGAAAGAGCAGTTCCAGTTTTTGCAAGGACTGCCTGTATAACATACTCTTGACAAGGAGGCACCATACTGCACAGGCAATATACTTTGTGTTTGTTCTTTTGTCAAGAGGACGAGCCATCTGCCAACTTTTGGCAACTGGAAGATGCTATGATCCCCAACCTCACAGTTCTGCTTTGTCTTGGTGAGAAATGAAGTTGTGGAGAGAGAATTCTGTTCTGAGAAGTAGTCTATCTCATAGTTGAGCAGTAATCCATCAAGGGTGTCTCAGTAGCTCAGAAGGCATCTGGAAGTGGAAGTCCTGCTCAGGCTTCAAGTACATACACTCACAGGTAACTCTCTTGCAGGACTGATTGTGGGCCCCAGGAACCCAGTGCTAGCAGGTGAGTGTCTTCCCAGCTTTTCTAAAGTGTACATTCTCAGTGTGGATCAAAGGTCACCTGTGAAGAAAAGAGATGGAGAAGAGCTGGTGTGGGCCGTTGATGGTGTTGCCTGCAAGGTCCTGAGACCGAGAGCGTGGATTTAAGCAGAATGTCTTCTGACCAAACTTCCATTTTTTGTTGTTGTTGTTTGTTTTTGTTTTGTTTTGCTTTGTTTTGTTTTCAGGGGTCCTCTCTAAACCCACACTCAGAGCTGTGCCAGGTAATGTGGTATCCACTGGGGAGCAGGTAACTCTAATTTGTGAAGGCCCCTTAGATGCCCAGGAATACAAGCTCTATAAAGAAGGAAATCCAGATTTCCAGATACCAACAGCTTATGAAGACACTGAAAAAAAGAACAAGATCATTATCTCATCCATTAGAAGTCATGATGCAGGCCAATATCGGTGTTATTATAAAAGCCCTAAGGGCACATCATAAATCAGTGACACCCTGGAGCTTGTCATAACAGGTGAAAGGACCCTTCCCAAACACTAGGATTTGTCTTGAGGAAATGAATATATTTCCTGTGGGGTCCCTTTGACAATTCTGGAATGGGGTGACCATGTTAGCAATATAAGTCCACTTAGGATGTTTCCTCTTCTCTCCTAGGAGTCTACTCCAGCAAAGTCACCCTTTCATCCCTGCCCAGCCCTGTGGTGACCTCAGGAGGTTATGTGACTCTTCAGTGCTCCTCACAAGAAGAATATAACAGTTTCATTCTAGTGAAGGAAGATCAAAATTTTTCCATGCGCATGGCCTCACAGAACACATACACTGGTGTATTCCAGGCCCTGTTCACAGTGGGTCCTGTGACTTCACAACAGAGATGGAGATTCACATGCTATGGCTATTACCTGAACAACTTACAGCTGTGGTCACTACCCAGTAATAGCCTAGAACTCCTGGTCTCAGGTAAGGGAGCTTTAGATTTTGCTTTGAATGATCATTGGCCAGATAAGAGGTCACAGAAATGGACTTGATATGTGGTGGGTTGGTGAGCTCATGATCCTGAGCCCAATGTCACAGAACTCAGGATACAGCTGTGAATAAGGTTCAAAAACCAGAATGGGCATTAAAAGTAGAAGCCATTAGGTCCAGGGAAGAATGATGTCTTTATGTGTCTTTCTGCTGTTGCAGATCAGCATAACTATCATTTGCAAGTGTGAATTTCTTTGTGCAACTGTCTTAACATACAATTTTTTCTTGTTCTTTGCAGGGACCCTCCACAAACCCACCATCTGGGCTGAGCCAGGCACTCTGATCACATTAGAGAGTCCTGTCACCATCTGGTGTGAGGGGACCAGAGAAACCCAAATATACGTGCTACATAAAGAGGGAAACCTAGAACCCTGGGACAGACAGACCCAAAAGGATCTCAACAATAAGGCAAAATTCACTATCCCTTCCGTGACAAAAATGCATGCAGGGAAATATCACTGTTACTGTTACAACTCTGCTGGGTGGTCACAAAACAGTGACACCTTGGAGTTGGTGGTGACAGGTGAGAGGATTCATCCCTAATCTCAGGACCTGCTTTGAAAAAGGAACTACATTCACTTTGAGATCCCTTTCTCAAAACCCGAGAAGAGGGGCAAATATATACTTTGACGAATAAACTTCACAAGTTTCCTCTTCTCTCCTAGGAGTCTATCCAAGCAAAGTCTCCTTGTCAGCCCAGCATAGCTCTGTGGTGACCACAGGAGGGTATGTGACCATTAAGTGTTTCTCACAGCATGGATATAACAGGTTCATTCTAATTATGGAAGATGAGAAATTCTCCAGGAACATGGACTCACAGTATACATACTACAGGGACTTCTGGGCGCTGTTCACTGTGGGTCCTGTGAATCCCCAAAAGAGATGGATTTTCACATGCTATGGCTATTACTGGAACAGCCCCCAGCTGTGGTCAGTACCAAGTAACCATCTAGAGCTCCTAATCTCAGGTAAGGAAACCCAAAACTTTTCTCTGAATAATAATTGATTTGACTAAGGATCATAGAGAAGGATCTGATATATTATGGGCTAATGAACTCAAGCTCCTATGTCCAATTTTACAGAATGTGTGAGACAAGTGTGGATAATAACAGTGGTACTTAGGAGTTCATGAAAAGATTGGGTCTTCATGTGTTCCTCTGCCTTTACCAATCAGCTTAAGTGTCATTTTCAAGTGTAACCTTTGCACAAGTATCCTAAGAGATGTGTCTCATTTTTTTCTACTTTGCAGGGACCCTCCACAAACCCACCATTTGGGCTGAGCCAGGCACTCTGATCACCTTAGGGAGTACTGTCACCATCTGGTGTGAGGGGACCAGAGACACCCAAATGTATGTGCTACATAAAGAGGGAAACCTAGAACCTGGGGACAGACCAACCCAAAAGAATGACAAGAATAAGGCAAAATTCACCATCCCGTCTATGACAACACTGCATGCAGGGAAATATCACTGTTACTCCTACAACTCTGCAGGGTGGTCAGAGCACAGTGATACCCTAGAGCTAGTGGTGACAGGTGAGTGTTTGTACAATACTCAGGAATCGTATCCCAAGACATGACTCTTAAAATGTCTGCTCTGAATGTATTCCCACTCATCAGCCTTTCAGGGTACAATGCAGACTGTGTGAGCCCATTTAATTTTCCATGTTTATCTCTTCTAGGAGTCTCCATCAAACCCAGACTGACAGACCTGAACAGCCCTGTTGTAACCATAGGACAGTCTGTGACCCTCTCATGTACCTCAAATCAGAGATACAATGGGTTCAGTTTAATTAAGAACAATCAGAAGTTTTCCAGCTCCATGGGCTCACAGAATGCACGTACTGGGCTGTCTTCTGCCAGGTTCCAAGTGCGTCTCATGACCTCCAGCCAAAGATGGAGGCTCAGATGCTATGGCTATAACACAAGCAACCCTCAAGTGTGGTCAGAAGGGAGTGACATCCTGGAGATTCTAGTCTCAGGTGAGGAAATTCTAGCTCTCTGTTGAATGACACTGACATGGGTTTCCTCTGGAGGCCCTAATGTGTGATAAATACAGGGAAAGACAGGTTCTTGGGCTCACTGATGCAGCAAGCATACTGCAGGAGTCAAGATACAGAGACCAGTGAGGTTTTTCAATTGTAAGAATTGAACCTGGGAGGGCCAGGAGAAAGATGGATCCTCACATGGCTCCATGTGTCCTTCGGTTATTCAAGGGTCAAATCCACGTTTTACTTGCCCTGTGCAACTGTTTAAAGTCCCACATCCACTCACTTACTTCTTTTCAGGGACGCTCCAGAAACCCAGCATCTGGGCTGAGCCAGGCTCTGTGATCACCTCAGGGAATCCTGTGACAATCTGGTGTGAGGGGACAATGGAAACGCAAATATATTTCCTGTATAAAGAAGGAAGCCCAGCACCCTGGGGCAGATTGACTGCACCAGTGCCTGATCACAAGGCCAAGTTTATTATCCCATTCATGGGAGAAAATAATGCAGGACAATATCGTTGTTACTGTTATAACTCTGCTGGGTGGACACAGCACAGTGACTTCCTGGAGCTGGTGGTGACAGGTGAGTGATTACTCAGGAATCATATGAATTCCCAGCTGTGACTCTTTAGAAAAGTTTGCTCTCAATGTATCCGCACTCATGCCTCAGGTCTGGGGGACAATCCAGACTGTGTGAACCCATTTAATATGCCGTATGTATCTCTCCTTGGTGTCTACACCAAACCCACCCTGTCTGCACTGCTAAACCCTGTTCTAACCTTAGGAGGATCTGTGACCTTCTCATGTATCTCAAATCAGGGATACGACAGGTTCATTTTCATTAAGGACAAGCAGTTCTGCAGCTCCATGGACTCACAATATGTATATACTGGTCAGTCTTCAGTCAGATTCCAAGTGGGTCCCATCACTCTCAGTGAAAGATGGAGTTTCAGATGCTATGGCTACTACACAGGAGAGCCCCATGTATTGTCAGAAGGCAGTGACATCATGGACCTTCTAGTCTCGGTTGAGGAAGCCCCAGGCTCTTTATTGAATGACACTGAACCTGAAACAGGTTTCCCCAGGAGACCCTAGTGTGTGATAAGTACAGGGAAAGAATGGTTCCTGAGCCCACTTATACAGAATACAGACTGTGGGAGTCAAGATACAGAAAGTACTGAGGGGTGTTCTGAGAAGGGAACTTGGGAGGGTGAGGAGAGAGAAGGGTCTTCAGAGGGCTCCATATGCACTGTTATTCAAGGGTCAAGGAACCATGAACACTCAAATGTATTTCCTGTATAAAGAAGGAAGCCCAGCACCCTAGGGCAGATCGACTGCACCAGTGCCTGATCACAAGGCCAAGCTTATCATCCCTTTCATGAGAGAGTATAATACAGGAGGATATCACTGTTTCTGTTATAACTCTCCTGGGTGGACACAGCACAGTGACTCCCTGGAGCTGGTGGTGACAGGTCTGTGGCCACTAAGTGTCACAGTCTTCACATTTTCTGTGTGTGGGTCCCTGATAGCTCTACCGCTTGGGAGAATATGACCCACATGCAATAACAAGGAAAAGTTTGATCACACTAACATAATAGTTGCTGCTTTACACTTCTAAAATGTATGACACCATGTGGTTGATTGTAAGCAAGTTTAAACACAGTATAAATTCGGAAAAAAAGATTGCTGGTGTAATAGAAAATACAGTGAACAACTAGGATTTATTGCATCAAAACTCAACTCAAATGTGACCATGAAAAATGGGTTCTATAGCTAAAGGGCCTTTAATCTAGTGTGGTCTATGACTGACATAGAGTAGGTGTCAGCAGGCTATAAAGTGTATATAACACATCTTGCCTAAGAATGGGCTTTATTAACTGAGAGCTAATGAAAAAGTCTAGGGAGACAGAGTCTGGGATAAACATTCTGGGGTATTCACGTGATGACTGGAGCTACAGATAGATGGTCCCCTGGTTATTAACAACATCCACTCCCAGCTCTCTTGATAGAAAACAGGTATTTATTCCATCAGTTGAGGAAACACACTGCATGAATAACTTTCCTGATATCTGCCATGTTACTTGTGAGATCAAGTACATCATGTCCTCTACATTTTCCCTCAGGAAATATGTCTTCCAAATGCTTTTACCTACAGTCCAACTGCTGGTGCCAATGTATCATTTAACAGGCCATGTCCTGTTTTCACTAAGGGTCCTCGAAGGTAAACCTACTCTGTCATTATGGCCCAGCCCTGTTGATACCTCAGGTGGGACCCTCCAATGTGTCTCATCAAAAAAATATGATTGGTTCATTGAAACTGGGGAAGAACAGAATTTCTCCAGGTCCCTCAAGGCTCAGTACACACACACACTGGACAGTCCCAGGCTCTGTTTCCTGAGATCCCTGTGACATCCAACAAGAGGGGGCCCTTTAGATATTATGGATACTTCAAAAGTAGACCACATATGTGGTCAGTGGCCAGTAACCCTCTGGAGATATTTGTCTCAGGTGAGTAAGGCTCATTCACTCCACTGTTTTCATCATGAGAACCCTTTATCACTAGCTCTGCTGGCCTGAGGATGGTTCCAGTCATGATGGCTGAAGGGAGCTCTTGGCGTCTATTGCTCAGAGGGGGAGCCCTTGACAATGATAGGAAAGAATAGGGGGGTGAATGATCTTAGTTAGGGTTTCTAGTGTTGAAATGAAATATCACCATCAAAAAGCAAGTTGTGGAAGAAAAGGTCTATTTGGCTTACACATTCACAGCACTGTTAATCCTTAAAGGAAGTCAGGACTGGAACTCAAACAAGTCAGGACCCTGGAGGCAGGTGTTATTACAGATATCTTAGGATGAGTGCTGCTCACTGGTTTTCTCCTCATGGCTTGATCAGCCTGCTTTTGTATAGAATCCGGAACCAACACCTCAAGGACGGTATCAACCACAACGGGTTAGACCCTCCCTTCACCCCCGGAGTCGGACCATAGAGGTCTAAACTAGAACTCTGTTGCAGGATTAGTCCAGGGACCAAGCTAAATGTGGGATAGATGGATTCCCTTCTGAGAGGGACAGACACATGTAAAAGGTCCTCTCCTTTGGGATTTTCAGTTTCCACTACTGTAAATTGGAAAGCCGTGGCCTATATGTTAAGTTCCTTTTAGTTCTGACCTTATCTGTGTCTTTCTCATACAGAGAAACCACTTCTGCAATTGTCCTGCCCTATCTGACACTGTGATGTTGACATTGTGCACGTGTATGCAACAGGCCAGGGCTCCTTCCTTTCAGTTCATGCATTTTATCTTCAGAGTAGGGAACACAGTTGAAGTTTGGATTTCTTGCATTTAATCCTATACAATGTGCCTTCCTGCTGGGTGACAAGTGGGTAAAATGTCTAGGAGTGAAAGGAGTCAGTCTTACATTGCATGGTTGTGTGAGTAACAGGTAGTGAACACAAAGACTCAGTATGGACCTCACACACAATTCCTCCTTCATGAATTTAGTTGCATGTTCCCATACCCCAGACTGAACATAAACCACAGGAAGGATTCCTTAATTCTGAATTGGAAATGGGAGGTGATTTTCTTCACCAATACTTAGTTCTTGATATAAACTTCAAGCTCAAGTGTCTTAGTCTGAATTATGTACTCAAACAGCTCGATGTGTGTGAAGAATCCAGAAGGAATCATGGCACCCTAGGGAAAGGATTGATACTGGATCCTTCTGAAGTTTTGTGATTTGCCTAATATGCAATTATACAAAATGAAAATTGCAGGTAACATGAATGTTGACTTCAGAGAAGACACTCTGGTCTCTTAAGTATTTCATTAAGTGTGTACCTTCTCTTCTGTACCTAGGAACTGATGAGAACATCACTGTATCACAAAACATGTCCAAACCAAAGACAGGTGAGTACAAATTCTCACTCATACAGCTTTTCTGAGGGTTTTGGTATCTGATCTTCCTCGGGTGATTTTCTTCTTCCCTTCATTCTTTCTCCACAACCACAGACTCAGAGACACAGGATCATCACACAGTGGAGAATCTGATCAGAATGGGGATGGCAGGCTTGGTCCTTCTGGTTCTTGGAATACTGGTGTTTGATGCTTGTCACAGCTGTAGACAGGATCAACACAGAAATGGACTATGAATGGGAAGTACAGCAGCACATACTTTGCAGCGTCATGGACTAGACACTAAGTATGGGGATTCAGGGTGGATTTGTAAGAAAATACAGTGCTCATGTTGGAGCACTGACTGGGGGTCAATGTGAATTGAGTGCAAGGGAAATAACTGTCTGTTTATTGGGATGGAGAGTACTTTCCCCACCAATCAAAGTTAGTCCCTTCCATCTTGATGTGGGTTTTGCTGACCAGTGCCTCCTTTCTCCTCACCTAATGACATGGGGAACATCCTGTACCATCAACTAGGGTTCTCCCCTAATCTATGTACTTATTCTGCTTTGTCTTACTTTCATGTAACTTTCTATTACTTTAAATTACTATGTTCCCATCAACATTACAAATTTCAGGTTCTTTTCTATTGAGAGCAAAGAACTTCACTCAATTACAATAAACATCAGCAGAAAGAAACCACCAGAATAAAAAATAAGTTACTTTATTCAAATGATTTTCTGAAACTCGTCTTGCAAGCTTTGGGACCTTCAGTTTTCACCATATGTCCATTCCGCGATTCTCTTTTTTTTTTTAATTTATTTTAATTTATTTTGCAATACAATTCAGTTCTACATATCAGTCACGGATTCCCTTGTTCTCCCCCCTCCCGTCCCCCTCACCTTCCCCCCAACGCCGCCCCCCCCCATTCCCATCTCCTCCAGGGCAAAGCCTTCCCCATAGACTGAGGTCAACCTGGTAGACTCAGTCCAGGTAGGTCTAGTCCCCTCCTCCCAGGCCAAGCCAAACAATCCTGCATAGGCCCCAGGTTTCAAACAGCCAACTCATGCAATGAGCACAAGATCTGATCCCACTGCCTGGATGCCTCCCAAACAGATCAAGCCAATCAACTGTCTCACCCATTCGGAGGGCCTGATCCAGTGTGGACCCCTCAGCCATTGGTTCATAGTTCATGTGTTTCCATTCATTTGGCTATTTGTCCCTGTGCTTTATCCAACCTTGGTCTCAACAATTCTCGCTCATATAAACCCTCCTCATTCTCGTTGATTGGACTCCCAGAGATCCACCCAGGGCCTAGTCATGGATCTCTGCATCCAGATCCCTCAGTAGCTGGATGAGGTTTCTAGCACAACAATTAGGGTGTTTGGCCATCCCATCACCAGAGTAGGTCAGTTCGGGCTGTATCTCGACCATTGCCGGCAGTCTGTTGTGTGGGTATCTTTGTGGATTTCTGTGGGCCTCTCTAGCACTTTGCTTCTTCCTGTTCTCATGTGGTCTTCATTTACCATGGTCTCCTATTCCTTGTTCTCCCTCTCTGTTGTTGATCCAGCTGGGATCTCCCGCTCCCCCCAAGCTCTCTTTCCCTCGACCCTCGCCTTTCATTACCCCCACTCATGTCCAGGCTGTTCATGTAGATCTCATTCCATTTCTCTGTCATTGGGCGATCCCTGTGTCTTTCTTGGGGTCCTGTTTTCCGGGTAGCCTCCCTGGTGATGTGAGTAGCAGACAATTCATCCTTGTTTCATGTCTAGTATCCTGCTATGAGTGAGTACATACCATGTTTGTCTTTCTGAGTCTGGGTTACCTCACTCAGGATGATTTTTTCTAGATCCATCCATTTGTCTGCAAACCTCATGATGCCATTGTTTTTCTCTGCTGAGTAGTATTCCATTGTGTATATGTACCACATTTTGTTTATCCATTCTTCAGTTGAAGGGCATCTGGGTTGTTTCCATGTTCTGGCTATTACAAACAATGCTGATATGAACATAGCTGAACAAGTGCTCTTATGGTGTGGTTGAGCATTTCTTGGGTATATGCCCAAGAGTGGTATAGCTGGATCTTGGGGGAGATTGATTCCCAATTTTCTAAGAAAGCGCCATATTGATTTCCAAAGTGGTTGTACAAGCTTGCATTCCCACCAGCAGTGGAGGAGAGTTCCCCTAGCTCCACATCCTCTCCAGCATAAGGTGTCTTCAGTGTTTTTGATCTTAGCCATTCTGACAGGCGTAAGGTGGTATCTCAGAGTTGTTTTGATTTGCATTTCCCTGATGATTAGGGATGATGAGCAATTCCTTAAATGTCTTTTGGCCATTTGAGTTTCCTCTGTTGAGAATTCTCTGTTTAGTTCTATAGCCCATTTCTTAATTGGACTGTTGGGCATTTTGATGTCTAATTTCTTGAGTTTCTTATATATTCTGGATATCAGTCCTCTGTCAGATGTGGGGTTGGTGAAGATCTTTTCCCATTCTGTAGGCTGTCGCTTTGCCTTGTTGACCGTATCCTTTGCTCTACAAAAGCTTCTCAGTTTCAAAAGGTCCCATTGATTGATTGTTTCTCTCAGAGTCTGTGCTACTGGTGTTCTATTTAGGAAGTAGTCTCCAATGCCAATGCGTTCAAGACTACTTCCTACTTTCTCTTCTAGCAGGTTCAGAGTAGCTGGATTTATGTTGAGGTCCTTGATCCACTTGGACTTAAGTTTTGTGCACGGTGATAGATATGGATCTATTTGCAGCCTTCTACATGTTGATATCCAGTTTTGCCAGCACCATTTGTTGAAGATGCTTTCTTTTTTCCATTGTGCACTTTTGGCTTCTTTGTCAAAAATTATATGTTCATAGGTGTGCGGATTAATGTCAGGGTCTTCAATTCGATTCCATTGGTCCACATGTCGGTTTCTATGCCAGTACCAAGCTGTTTTTTATTACTGTAGCTCTATAGTAGAGCTTGAAGTCAGGGATCGTGATGCCTCCAGAAGTTGTGTTATTGTACAGGATTCCTTTGGCTATCCTGGGTTTTTTGTTTTTCCATATGAATTTGAGTATTATTCTTTCCAGGTCTGTGAAGAATTGTGTTGGTATTTTGATGGGGATTGCATTGAACCTGTAGATTGCTTTTGGTAAGATTGCCATTTTTACTATGTTAGTCCTGCCTATCCATGAGCATGGGAGATCTTTCCATTTTCTGACATCTTCTTCAATTTCTTTTTTCAGGGACTTAAAGTTCTTGTCATATAGGTCCTTCACTTGCTTGGTTAGTGTTACCCCAAGGTATTTTATGTCGTTTGTGGCTATAGTAAAGGGTGATGTATCTCTGATTTCCTTCTCCACTTCTTTGTCCATTGTATATAGGAGGGCTACTGATTTTTTTGAGTTGATCTTGTATCCTGCTATGTTTCTGAAGGTGTTTATAAGCTGTATCAGTTCCTTGGTGGAATCTTTGGGGTCGCTCAAGTATACTATCATGTCATCTGCAAATAGGGAAAGCTTGACTTCTTCCTTTCCAATTTGTATCCCCTTAATCTCCTTATGTTGTCTTATTGCTCTGGCTAGAACTTCAAGTACTATATTGAATAAGTATGGGGAGAGTGGACAGCCTTGCCTCGTTCCTGATTTTAGTGGAATTGCTTTGAGTTTCTCTCCATTTAATTTGATGTTGGCTGTTGGCTTGCTGTAAATTGCCTTTATTATGTTTAGGTATGTTCCCTGTATTCCTGATCGCTCTAATACCTTTATCATGAAGGGGTGTTGGATTTTGTCAAATGCCTTTTCTGCATCCAGTGAGATGATCATATGGTTTTTTTCTTTGAGTTTGTTTATATGGTGTATTATATTGACGGACTTTCGTATGTTGAACCACCCTTGCATCCCTGGAATGAATCCTAATTGATCATGGTGGATAATTGTTTTGATGTGTTCTTGGAGTCTGTTTGCCAGTATTTTATTGAGTATTTTTGCATCAATGTTCATGAGGGAGATCGGTCTGTAGTTCTCTTTCTTTGTTGTATCCTTGTTTGGTTTAGGAATTAGGGTAATTGTAGCCTTGTAGAAGGAGTTTGGTAATGTTCCTTCTGTTTCTATTGTGTGGAACAATTTAGAGAGTATTGGTATTAACTCTTCTTTGAAGATCTGGTAGAATTCTGCGCTGAAACCATCTGGTCCTGGGCTTTTTTTTGGTTGGGAGACTTTTAATGACTGTTTCTATTTCGTTAGGGGTTATTGGACTATTGAAATAGTTTATCTGGTCTTGATTTAACTTAGGTATGTGGTACCTATCCAGAAAGTTATCCATTTCTTTTAGGTTTTCCAGTTTTGTCGAATAGAGGTTTTTGAAGTATGACCTGATGATTCTCTGGATTTCCTCAATGTCTGTTGTTATGTCCCCCTTTTCATTTCTGATTTTGTTGATTTGGATGCTCTCTCTCTGTCTTTTGGTTAGTTTGGATAAGGGCTTGTCTATCTTGTTGATTTTCTCAAAGAACCAACTCTTTGTTTCATTAATTTTTTGTATTGTTCTCTTTGTTTCTATTTTATTGATTTCAGCTCTCACTTTGATAATTTCCTGGCGTCTATTTTTCCTGGGAGACTGTGCTTCTTCTTGTTCTAGAGCTTTCAGGTATGCTGTTAAGTCTCTAGTGTGAGATTTCTCCACCTTATTTATGTGGGCATTTAGTGCTATGAATTTCCCTCTTAGTACTGCTTTCATAGTGTCCCATAAATTTGGATATGTGGTGTCTTCATTTTCATTGATCTCTAGGAAGTCTTTAATTTCTTTCTTTATTTCTTCCTTAACCCATTGGTGATTCAGTTGGGTATTATTCAGTTTCCATGAGATTGCAGGTTTTCTGTAGTTTTTGTTGTTGTTGAAATCCAACTTTAGACCATGGTGGTCTGATAGAACACAGGAGGTTATTCCAATTGTTTTGTATCTGTTTAGATTTGTTTTGTGGCCAAGTATGTGGTCAATTTTAGAGAAGGTTCCATGGGGTGCTGAGAAGAAGGTATATTCTTTTTTGTTAGGATGGAATGTTCTGTAGATATCGATTAAGTCCATTTGAGTCATGACATCGGTTAAGTCCTTTATTTCTCTGTTAAGTTTCAATTTGGGAGATCTGTCCAGTGGTGAAAGTGGGGTGTTGAGGTCTCCCACTATTAATGTGTGGGGTTTTATATGTGATTTAAGCTTTAGTAATGTTTCTTTTACATATGTGGGTGCCCTTGTGTTTGGGGCATAAATATTCAGAATTGAGACTTCATCTTGGTGGATCTTTCCTGTGATGA